AGTTGATTAGCTAAGCATGACAGCGGTTAAGGAATTCTTATCTTAAATTTAAATTTCTTAGATTGTTTATTTCCCAGGTGCAGTTCATTCATGTAAATATTCTTAAATATCTGTGTTGTTAGCATCCGTGTGTTCTTGTTGTTCTGATTTATATCGTGTATATACAGCGTATAGACGCCACATCTGCAACGATGCTGCAAATTTCTCCTTCTGGGACTAATACAGGATTTTCTATTCTATTCTATTCTATTCTATTCTATTCTATTCTATTCTAGTCTATTTAATCCATCAGCAGATATGTCACTACTCAGTCATTTAATATCCATAATTGTCTCCTTTCTGCTTTGCGCCAACAGAAAGTTCCATTATTATTATTATTATTATTATTATTATTATTATTATTATTATTATTATTATTACTATTATTAATAATAATAATAATTTATTTCTTTTATTTGTTATTTATTTTTATAGTATTTCTGCTCCAGCTTCAGTCAGTCCTGGTTTCTCAGATGTGGTTAAATAAACAGAATTTTTGGTTTTTTGCAGAAGCTAGTTGCTGCAAACGGTTTATTTTTGGTGATTTCTTTAAAGTTGTTCGGGCCCCTGATCACACATGAAGCTGATGGGAGCTGTGATCAGACTAAACCTGCCTCCTTAAGCTTCATTTAAAGTTTTCTGCCTCTGCTCTGTTGTTTCCGTCGCTCCGGCTCAGAAACTTCTTCTACTTGCTGCCAGTGTTGTCGGAGAGGTGACAGCGGCGCCTCGCAAAACTTTCCTGTCATTTATTCAGGCTTGAATATTAGATGAAATGACTGTTAGGACCTTTTGTCGCTGCAGTGGGAGTTATGCTAATGCCTAATTTGCTCCAAGTATCTGAGCGTGAACCGTAGAAGTGCCGGATCCGAACGCGCTCATTTGTATAATTTTTATAAAGTCACCTGCATTTTGGAAGCCACTGACAAGCACTTTAGTCCCGATGAAAGGTTCACCGGATGAGAAAACTGTCAGGCTGGAGGACTTAATGTGAACCTGAGGGGGGTGTTCATCCAGGAGGAGGTGGAGGAGGAGCAGGAGGAGCAGGAGGAGCAGGAGGAGCAGGAGGAGGAGGCGGCAGCACCAGCAGATCAGAGTTTATTCCATGAATGAGAGAAACAGTGGGAGAACTCGTAGGAATACGAGGAGCTGGATTTCAGTGACTAAAGTGCAGTAATTGTGTTAAAACGTTCAATCTGAATCAATCAGTCGTTTAATTTGAATAATTGTATCACATGCTCTGGAAACAGGAAGTTATCAGACTGTTGTGTCTGGTTCTTCCTGAATATTCAGAACTCAAGTGACAGAGACTGACGTCAGAGATGTGGAACCCCAGGAGCTGAATGATCTGAATGTTAAATGGATCATTGTATTAAAAGAGCTGAATGATCTGAATTCAACACTTAATATGACCGAATACAGAGTCTGAGTGGCAGTCAAACAAAGATCAGCTGAATTCAGATTCAAGTTTTAAAATCATCCAGAAACTGTTTAATGTTCAGCAGATGTTCTATGGATGTTGTTTAGATGTTCTGTAGATGTTCTGTGGATGCTTTGCGGCTGTTCTGTAGATGTTCTGTGGATGTTCTGAGGATGTTCTGAGGATGTTGTTTGGATGTTCTGCAGATGTTCTGAGGATGTTCTGTGGATGTTGTTTGGATGTTCTGCAGATGTTCTATGAATGTTGTTTGGATGTTCTGCAGATGTTCTGAGGATGTTCTGTGGATGCTTTGCGGCTGTTCTGCAGATGTTCTGTGGATGTTCTGGTGGAACCCGTTCCCCTCTCTGCGCTCCGGCCTCCCGCTCCCTCCTTTCAGATGGGCCTCCCACACAGCACACATATCTCTGCTGGCAGTGATTGGACTGCGATGGCTCTCCTGGAGCCGCCGCCTCCCTCCTCGCTGGCCTCGGTCCCGGCCTTCCTCTCATAGTATCTCCTTTGTAAGCGGATCCTCGGCCCTGGCCTGCGTTGGCATGGGCGGGAGCCAATAAGGCGTTTGGCTGGGGGGGCGGCGGAGAGAGGAGAATCTCATTTCCATATATAACGAGGCCTTTTCTGCAGGCGGCCGCGCAGACAGAAAACACAGGAAAATGGATTTATTTATGTATGCTTTTGTCAGAGATCTCCCCCAGCGGTTGAAGCCAATCCAGGAAGCCAATTATGTGCTGGATTGCGTGAGAGAGATTTCTTTTAATTTCGTCTTCTCGGCTCCCCAAAAGGAAGAAAAGAGGCGCTGATGGGCAGTCGG